GTCTCAGTCGCTTGTTATCATTTAGATCTGGTAACCCCAGTCCCGGTCTCATAAACATGATTTTCACACACACCAAAACTGTAGTTTAATTTTTTTTTCCCAACGCCACACAAAATTTCTCTTTCATCATCGAATCAATGATATAAAATCAGCCCACAAGTTTCCAAAATTCACATGTAGAACAGTTCACAATTTTCAAAATATTTAATTGCAATCTCAAACATCAACACATATATCATATATATGAAAAAATTTATACACACGCACCTACACATTGAATATAGAAAGTCCTTCTAAAAGAAGTAGTAAACTACTCACCTTGATTTCCAAAGTCTAATTCAAAGCACTCTTTCTCAATCTCAATACAATCATTACCTAATTCAAATATATATATATAACAATCAATCTCTTTTCTTAATTTCGTCGTTTTTCGATTCTATATTTAATTTTATATTATTTTCACCTATTGATATATATATTTCATATATCTTTTACATATAAATATCCTTTCTAATATGAGGTAATAGGGTATGGAAGTATTCTACGCTTTTTGGAAAAGTTTCTAAAATTTTAGGGTCAAATCATAATTTTTTGAAAACTTTTGGTATCAAAGTATAATTTCATTGAAAAACAAATTTTCTACTTTCGGGACTACTATAAATTTTTCAAAATTCTATTCTTCCAGCTTACCAAGTAAAACAGTAATTAAAATTAAATTTTAAAGAATATAAGGGTCAAATTACAGTTCCTTGAAGTCAAAAGGATAAATTATGTAATTTCTGGACGTTGTCTTCTTCACCACCAACGAAGGCCTCCAGGTTGTATATTCTGTAAGTTCAAAATCAAATCCCTTTTTTTTTTATCTTTTTCTTTCCAACACATTGAGTAAACTCAATCAATTCCAAATCACTATAAACTTAAAGTTCAATCTAATAACTTCAATAATTAATAAGGTATCATGAGACTTATATATATATATATATATATATATATATATATATATATATATATATATACTAGTTATTGCATATGTCTGAAGGCACAGAGTAATAAAAAATGGTAAATAATAAATATATTTATATTCATATCCAAAACCAAATTACAAACATAGAGAAGAGATGAAGGAATTTAAACACCAGTTTGTAGTGGGGGTGAGAGGTGGTGGTAGGACACGGTGATGTTGTGGTGGGTGGCAATAACTATGGTGGCGGTAGTAGTGGTGGTGGCAATGAGGGCGACGACAATGGAGGTGGTGGCGATGGCGGTGGTGGTGATGATCGTGGTGGCAGTGGTGGTTGTAAATGGTGGTGGTGGTGGTGGTCAAGTGTAGTGGTATGACGGTTTCAAACACTATTTTTTTTTTAAAGTATTTATGAAAAATATTTTTAGAAGTACTTTTAAAAAGTCATTTCAAACACATTTTTATGAGCCTATTTTTCCTATTAAATTTAAAGTGTTAATATTAGCCGTTAAATTAATTTTAAAGTAAAATTTAAAGTAATTTTAACCGCGAATAACAAAAGATATTATATTTATCTTTTGAAATTTGAATTGTAAGCTACTTTATTATATAGATATATATGTATGTTGACACCAACATTATAAACCCTACACCATCTCATTGAATAAAAATATAAAACTCATAAGAGAAGTAATCAATCCATACCTTTAATGGAATCAACCCATTTTTTTTCTTTTTCCTCCTTTATTCTCTTTCTTTCTCTCTCCTTAAGCCGCACTCTTTCTTTCTTTCTTTATTTCTTCCTTTTTTTTTTTTTTTTTTTATTTTGCCCTTTTTGACTGTCCACATATATCTTTTATACAAATCAAAAGGAACCCTATAGTAATCCTAGAATTTCTCATTCCTTAATTGCACTAATATCCCTTTTAAAAAAAATATCACAAATTGACCTAAAAACTAATATTGTATATATTTTAAATTTGGGATATTACAGGCTCCGCGACAGGAGATTACATTAATTTTCTAATTGTAATGCTGAATTTTCGTAGTTTTTGTGCATGTCAGTGATTCAAGGGGGATTCTTGTGCCCCCTTACAGACATTAATGTTGTTAGTTTTTTAATCTCTTCGATATTTGAATTGATGATTCTGTTTGTGCAGGTTTAGGATCTACCCTATCAGAATGGCTGTGTACACTGTGGTTTACGGAATTGCTCTTCACAAGTGGTGGATGTTCATATCTAACTAATGAATTACTTGCTTCATCTCTGAATTCAACCACAAAGAGGGGTTTTGGATTATATGTATAATTAACCGTCTCTAAGTGATAAATGCATCTTGACATTAACTTGTGGAAATACGAATCGGGGTTGCTTCGAACGGCTGAAAGTGCTCATCTCTAATTGTTTGTAGCTGTCCAACCAATTGTTAAAGAACCTCAAAGTTCTTCTAAGTAATAATTAACACAAATTGTAAATTTGATTTGAATTTCGAATCTTATCAATTTTTTAGGTCCAGGTTATGAAAGATTTATCCTTTAAGAATATCTTAATTTCAGTGTGGATACTCTGTATTTAACCAAACTAAGAAAGAGATTAGTGGAGTTGCGCATAAACTAGTTCGAACATCTTGATCATTAAACTAAAAAAAAAAAAAATTTATTTGCTAGGATGTTTAGACTAGAAAAATTTTACACGTCATGAAAAAGCCTATTGATCAAGGGAAAAATGCTACAAGTTTGATTAGTGTATGTGTGTGTTTACCATGTGGTTGTTCATGATGTGATAATCGAAAATTTCCATAAGAAAGTGTTCCCTCATAACAAAGAGAAGCTCGTCTTTACTCATCCATTGCTTTGGCAACATCAAAATCCACGCCATCATAAATTGCGCACCCTATTAGTTACGCAAAAACTAAGTTTTTAACGGCTATGAACATGTTATAGACACGCTTCAAAAAAAATGTTTAGAAAAAATGATTGTTGTATAAAAAATGTTTAGATAATATAATTATATAGTAATAATGATTTTTTAAGAAAAATTAAATTTAATTTTTGATTTTATTTCAATAAAAGATATAATAAAACATGAATTTTAATTGTAAAATTCAAAATATTTGATATTTTATCATTGGTTGAACTATTTTTGGTTTAAGTATAATATTTTAAACTTAAAAGATCTAAGTAATATATGTTTATAAATTTTAAAGGGTCTGGATGTAATTTACTGAATATATTTATAGCAAGGTCTAAATGTTAAGTGCTAACAAACTTCTGAGGATTTGTGTGTAATATTTTAAATGCCAAAATCTAAATGATTAAGTGATTGGCCTCGAGGGTCTGTAATGTAATTCTCCTTTAAATATGAGTATTTTCAGGGTATGAAGTGAGATTAAGCCGCATATAAATGATGTTCTGTACTCCAACCGGCCTCCGCAGTGGAGATTCGAGATAGAAAGACAATATACAGAGGGAGAACGAGCAGAGAGCGAGAAAGAGAAAGATGAGGCTGCTAACCCACAACATGCTATCATCCAACATCAAGGGCGTGGCCAACGGCTTCCCACTGAGAATCGAAGTTGAGAAAGTTGTCGAGAAGCAAGTAGACTTCAACGCCGACTTTCTCAAGAACATGTTCGCCAAAATCGAGTGGAAGGCCCTCGTAGACGCCTCCAGATCCATGGGCTACTCGGAGCTTCCCGGAGATGCCAACCCTGCGATGCTAGACTCCGATGACTTTCTCCAGAAGTTCCACCACGCGCTCCTCGAGCTCCACCTCGAAGAAGGTGCTCTTGTCTGCCCTGAGACCGGCCGGAAATTTCCCGTCAATAAGGGGATTCCCAATATGCTTCTTCATGAAGACGAGGTCTGATTGAAAAATTTAAGTCATTTTTTAGGGTTTTGAAAGAAAGAAAAAGCTGGGTTTTAGGGGGCTCATTGGGGGCTTTATATCAGGTGTAATCCATATGGGAGTTTTGAATGCTTGAGAAAGTGTTTATTAGGGTTTGGTTTTGTTGAATAATATTGCGTATTTGTGTTCTTATTCTGTTCAATTATGGTAGTGCAAGTTTTATTATTGCTTCAATTCAATAGGAATAGTTAGTACTTTGTGCCTTTTCAAAGGGTGTTGAGATGGAATGTCTATTGGAATAAGGCTTTGTCAAGTGTAAAATTCATTGGAGATTATTGATTGCCTTCTTCAGAAATTTAAAATTCTGTCAGAGAGTTTGAAGTGCACTAATCTAAATAATAATTCACAAGGTGCAGAGAGATCAATGTGTGCTGCAAACTTTGTGCTTCTTTAATACCCAATTCGAGTTGGGACTGCTCTGCGTGATGAATTCTCCCCAGTGATTAACATAGCAGCCCATAGTTTAGCATTGGATGGGACTGCTCTCCGTTCCCTCATTTATCTTTTTTTTTTTTCTGTTCAATAGTCATATGTATCCGAACACTTATGCTAAACACGGGTATAATTTATTTCACTAGCCAATAAACCACCCCCCCCCCCCTCTTCCCCCACCAAAAAATACACACACACAGAGATTACCAACTATGTTCCTGCTCTCACTGGACTGTCATCAGAAGCAGAAGCAGAAGCTATAGGCATATACCAGATGTCCAGAAAAATGGTAAAGGGTTCACACTTCCCTTCGCTTTTTTCATATAGATATCGCTTCCTACAACAAATCTCATTGCAGAGCTGTTACCAGTTTAAAGACGCAAGTGACTAGATCAATGATTGAACTGAAAATTCAATAAGTGTAGAATAACTTAGAAAGCATTATGGTTTTTTTTCCCCTTGCTTCCTTCTGTTTTCCCATGAAAGGTTATAAATAATTCTTGGTATTATCAATTACACACAAAAACTCAAATTAAACAATATAATCTAATCCCTAAGAGGAACAAAGTACTGACCATGACCTCGCTCCATCTACTGTCTGCATGCATCAACAATTGCTCAACAAGATAGAATCTAATCCTGCACCATCATTCAATACTTCATGCCATCAGAATTGTGGAACATATGACTTCGACCTCGAAACACCTCTGAACCCTGAATGCTTCCCTCATTTTGTTTGACTACTCCTCCGGGGAGTTGTTTCGTAAGGGGGAAGAGGCACACCAAATACCCAATCAAGAACATTCAGGTACTTGGATCGAAAGACATCCCTTTCTATTGCATAGCAGTGCATGATGATTGCAGTGGAAATGCTGAAAATCACCACATCAGCTCTCCTGTAGTTCTTCGATGGAGGCAAATATCCAATGTCAGCCATGCATGTGACAAAGCTCTCAATGGCCCGTGCAAAGCAGTAGAGTGAAATCTCTATCCGCCTGCTCTTCTTCTCAATTGCCAAGGCCAGACCAGTTGGAAACTGCCCACAAACAACAGTTCATCAAATCAAGACCACCCCATTGTTCTTTCTACTTTTAAGGAATATTCAAAATATTCTTTTTACCGTTCCCATTGCCAACATAGGAATGTTGCACCTTTTAAAGATCCTGAAGAGGAAACATGTCCACATCCTATGCACCATAGTACCATCACACAGATTAATTTTCAATTGATTAAAAGCTTTCTGCATGACAAAAAATGAAATAGCAAAAATTGAAGAAGTGGGAAATGTTAGCATGGTTTGTTGGTTGCCAACTTGAAGTATACAAGTTATTTTTTTAAGCATGTAAAGCGGATCTTTCTATGATTATTCCCTCCCCAAGGCGGTGTCTGATTTATGTGCCTTAGGCTGATGAAAATCAAGCATTTATTTTGGCTGGTCAATGGTGTTCTTCTATCTTTAACCACCTCTTTGAATCTCATAGCTCTTTTGCTACTGTTTACGATTTCAGCATTCAAGTTTCTTGAGAAGAACACACCTGTGGGTTGCACAAAAAAAAAAGTGTATTGTCTTGGATATTAATGTGGATAGCTACGTTTCTAGGTTAAATAATAAAGAGAATAATGGGGAATGCATTCTGAAGATATAACGTTCAGAGAACATTCCTCAAAAACTAGCTGGCACGAAAACTCACTTAAGGCATATCAAATTTTTATTTCTTTCAGTATTACATACTCATTAAATTATTTCGGCAAAATTAGTCAAAGACAGCATATGTCATTTATATAGAACCAGATAATTCTTGAGCTGTCCAAAAGAACGTTTTAGAGTAAAGTGATTTCCTCGAAAAAGGTGAAATTCAGAAGGTACTACAAAATACAAATTCCATGGAACTGATGTATAGCATCAGGGCCATGAGTTAACCTGAGAGTTATAATGCAACTCCTTTGGCATGCAAAGAAATGTTGACCATATTGCTTTCTATGTAACACACTCACCAACTTGGTGAACGGCTATGGAATTGACCCAAAGTCCCAAGGTCAAATTGCTATCTAGGACTACCCCAGAAACAGGGGGTTTCAAGATCACCTTGTCCTTTAAGCAGGATTAGTCCCACCTCCAAAGGGGTAAAGAATGCCTCATAAAACAAAGAAAAAGGGGAACAATTCTTACGAATGTATGAGAACATATATACTAAAAGTAGTAACACTAGAATGCAGCAAAATAATGCTTACCAGGCAGATGAACAATACATGGATAAAAATAAGCTTGATCTTGCAGTGCCCAGAACACCTTTCCCCAAAATTGTGTAAGGTCTACACAAGGTAGATCAGGAATAGGAAAGTAAATAATGTCCAAGAGAATCCAATTACTGGAAGAAACTCAATCAACTAGGGAGGAAATAATAAAATATATTACCTCTTCAAGAGTCCTTGACGATGTACAATTAGTGCCGGAATTAAGTAAACAGGAAGATAAACTGGTAATGCTCTCTTGTAGGCTTGAATAAGAAATGAAACAAAATGCAAAGCACATTGTTGATTTCCATGTACCATCTGCATAACATAGATTAAACAAAAACAGGACTATATGATGTATACACAAGAGCAGAAAACAGAAGAGTATGTGACTGAGGAAAAAAATTATATATTTACCAACAATAGCAGTTCTAGTTTACAATAAGCATTAACCATATATAAACCAAAAGAAGATATCAAAAATGAACAGAAAAAATGCAGTCACAGAAAGGAATCCATGATGATGCTCCAATATCAAGTGTCCGACATACTACATATTAGCTACATGACAATTTATGTGAGTGGGAAATATGTTTATGTGACAACCTCATATGAATTAAAGAGTGAGATTCATTTTAGCACGAAAAGTTCATCAGGTAACGTCCATGCAAATCCCTGCACTTTGCATATCATTGCTAAAGAATAGTTCTTAGCAATAAGAAAGCTACCCACATTTAACTTCTAGAAACTTGACTGGCAACATTAAGGTTTTAGTACCCAGAAGATTGCTTTAGTTTTATGCCTAAATGCATTTGCCCAGAACCGATCATCGCAGCGAAATAAGTAGATGGCTTAAAAATTCTGCATGAAGTGAATCCAATAAAGAAACACCGGTGAATTCATCAAGAAAGGGATTTGACGACTCAAGACAATCAAACAGATGATTGGGATGCATGCATCCAGTCTAAATAGCCTGGGCAAAATTTGAAAGGCTTGTTGATGTTAAACTTTGCATTGCTTATCAATCATAAAATTAGTATCTTAATCAAACATCTGCATCAGCTTCCACTTCTTCCATTTTTTTGACCCAATGGTGAAAAGCATATGCATTAATTCAAATGGCAGTGTCCAACATGGATATCGACTGAAGTACTTTAATTTACCCACTTTCAAACTGCTATATAATTTAATTCGTTTTCTAGGCCACTAAAGGACTAAAACTCTTAAAAATTGTTGCTTTATCAAAGCTCGACCTAAAGTCTGTCTTTGTCTATCCCATTTCTTTTTCTCCCTAAAAGTAATTTCAGCATAATTCCCCATAAACACACATCAAAACCCTTCTCTGTCAACACCATGAAGAAAATAATGTCAGAAGAAATGGTAAAGCCAAGGTGTTAATGCTTAGGGCAGTGGTAATAGTGTCAGAAAAACAACTATAAGATGGTTCAAAGTTTAGAAAAACTGTTTTCTACAAACAATGTCAAAGGTTAGACCAGTACCAAGTCCACCACTCCCAACATCCTAAAGTAATCCCTAAAGAATAGTAAAGCCACCCACCTAACATTTCAGCAAGTTACTAAATTCACGATGGATGTGGCAAAGATGGTTGGACTTATGTCCAATTGTCCATATATTAAATCCAAACAAAGTCTTTGTAAAGAGGAAATGAGAAACATATAAGTGTCAGTTCACAAAAATTGGCCTAAAAGACAATAAGCAGCCTTTATTTTTTCTTTCTAAAGTAAGCATGATATTGAGTCATTCTTCAAATTTATTTGGTCATGCATGTTGCACAGATAAGACAAAAGAAATGCATGTTTGCGTTGAAAAAATTGTTGATAAGTTGAACAAACAAGCAATAGATTCAGCAATGCATACCGAGCAGGGGACTTTCATTTCTGGATCCAGTTTAATGTCAACACCGGTGGACTGGTAATACTTCTCTATAGCCTCCAAATTAGTAAACGGCATGCCGCATGCAATCTCCTTCACTCCTTGCAGGATAACAGAATCCTTTGCGCCATGTTTATTGAGAAAGGACTTGTATGAGGGGGGCAAACTATCTTGCTTCAAAATGTAAGCACACCTGGGGAAAAGCATATTTACCCACTTATTTTACATCTTAAGGAACAGAAAACCATCATCATTTAGAGGATATAGTCATCAGGTCATATTCTTGAAGTCAGAATTTCTGGACATTCATCACATAAAGAATTATGGCGGTCTACATTTGTTCAATGTGGAAGAATATAAAGCAAGAGACCAGACACCACCACCACATGGAAGATCATGCTAATTTTAACCACATTGTCAAAGAACTGGAAGCACTATTATTTCAGTTTCACTTTTTGCAACTGTAAGTTTATGAAGCCTTGTTTAGAAAAAGACTTGAGCTTACAAATCAACAAATGAAGATCTGTAATCCAAAATAATTGTCAATAGAACAATATTTTTGGGTTTTTCCACATTTTTTATGACAAGATTTCCCATTTGTGTTTGAAGCAACTCTTATTGTAATACGTTATAGTGTAGCTACAAAAAGTGGTCTGTTTTCCTCAAAATCTCATATCAAACTAATGAAAGATTTGGTTGATCTGTCTAAAAGTTTATGTTTTGAAACAGGGGATAAGAATGTTTACTTTGTGTTCCACTACATGCAAGAATAGATTGTCAGATATTATTGCTAGCAGGTCCTCAATATCACTTAAACTTAGATCCATACCACATCCGCACAATCTTTTTTCCCAATTTGCCAATTTAGTATTTGTTTAACTATAAGTGGAAAGCTCAACACCAAACTTTTCAATCATTGCTATACCACATTTTTCAGCTGTTAAAGAAAAGAAGTGAGAGATGGAGGAAGATGAGAGTGGTGGCTTAGGAAGACTATCACGCACGAATAATATCATCATTGTCATACAACGCTATTAATTTTATACAGCATCACACTGCATAGCATAATTAACATGCAACATTTAATTAGAACGTGAAAAACAAGAACAAATTCAAAATTTAGCAAAAAAAACAAAACATTTCAATATATGGAGCTCAAAACAACATACAGAATTTGAGAAGAAGAGAGACACATAAGGAAAATGTCTCCATGTGCCCAAGTAAGAGGTTTACAAATGCGTCCAAATCTCTTGCTTTTTATTCCACATCGCGATGCCAAGACAGCAGCACGCATGAGAATATAAATGGCCAAGCTGTTATGCTGGGTGTTCAATCCAGTCAATAGCATTGAAGGCCCTGCTATCGCCCCGGCTAACAAAGCCCTCCATTTTGCTGTCCTGAATGTAAAATAACGTTACCAATCAAAGCCCTAATAATCAAATCACTAATTCAAAACCGTTTATCCAATCAGCTGAATGATACATTTCTTCAAAAATAAAAAGAGCTGATCCAACTCGAGTTCTCACTAATTATAGAAATTAACTACGAATTTAAACATAAAAAGAGCTAAAAAAAATTTATAGAGATGCCATGCCTACGGTGTCCTCCCCAAGCAGCTATAATTTCATCCACTGAAACAAATGTACCAGCAAAAGTGCCAAGAAAAAGACCATATCTGAGAGTTTCTTTGATAGCCAAAATCACATCGTAACTACTGGAAACCATTTCTACTTTCCTGAACCAAACAATCAATTTGGAATTAAATAAACACATGCACGCACGCATAAGAGCAAAGTGCGTAGACAATTAGATCTGAAACCAGATAACCAGAGGAAAAAAGAATATGTCTAAATTGGAGGTTATTTACTTTGCAGAGGGAGATAAACGTCTGCGACGCAAGCGAGCAAGGACAGAGAAGAGAGCTAGGCCGCCTTTGAGACCAGCTCCAATGGTGAAACCCTTGACTGAGGCAGCGAAGATTCTCCCAAGCTTATCGTACTCTTGTACTGGAATCGATTCGAAGCTGAGCAAAGAACCAGAAGACGACGACGAAGGAAGATTCGATCTTCTACAATGCGGACAACTCCGATCATGCAATTTGTTATCATCATCACTGTTGTCGACGGAAAAGCAAGTACAACGGCCGTCGACGGCGACTTTCCGGTCGCCGGACGCCGACATGATTCGTGGCTGTTAAGCTTGATCAGAATCTCTGGAGAACAAAAGCTTGGCGGCGAGTTATTAAGAGAGCGGGAGAGAGGGGTCTCTAGTCCGGACTACCTGGTGGGTATTAGAGACGAGTGAACGAGCTACACGATGGTGTAGCGGTTGACGATGACGTGTTTTACTTTGAGCTCGTTTGGGTGAATGAAATTTTTCAGTTGGTTTATTGAAATTAAATGTTTTTCTGGTTTTGTTATGGTCTTAGGTTGCCAAAGTTTCTGTCTATTGTAGTGTTTACGTGACAAAATGTTCTGTGTTGACCAAGTACCACATGGGGTGTACATTTATATATGATTAGTAATGCATTACGTGTATTTTACGTAAATTATTTTAATTTATAATTTTTTTTATTTGAATTGAGGTTTGGCTTGTACAATAAAAATATATGCACACTGAATTCATCATTCTTCTAAGATTACATAAAAATCTTTAGGTTAAATATTAGGAAAAATTACACCCATAATTCTTGAATTTATCCCTTAATCACTTTGATTTTTTATATTTAAAATATTACACATAAAATCCTTAAATTTTGTATGCGCGTAACACATAGACAAACCTCTACCGTTAAAGTCCGTTAGTATATCCGTTTCATGAGTAAATATTAATTGGAAATGCTATTTATGGACCTTATTTAGGGGCTTAATAATATAAAACTATTGGATTAATTGTGAGCTCTATCTAATATTGAAACTCATAACTAATCAAATGGTTGTTGCACGGGGGATTTTCTGCAACAGATTGAGATAGTGATTCTCTTGATGATGAAACTGTAGCAACCACAAGGTTAGAGAAGGGGTTAGGTGAACACTCGTCTTATCCCCGTCGAAGCTTAAATCAGTCTAAGTTTAGAGGCTTGAGCACAATATATATTTCTTCCAGTTTGGTCTTGCGTACCTTTATTCATTTTTCTAAAGAGTATTTATACCTGAATTAGTAATGAGTGTCAAGACTTGAAGTTTCATCTCAACATTTAATGACTTGGACTCTTACCTATGTGTAATGAGGATTCTCTACCTAATTCTTCGAGCCTAGTTGACTTGGGCGATAAGGTGACTGCTCAGGACATGCCGAGAACTTATGGCTCTATTCCCCGGTCATTCAAGTCTTCTGACCGGCACTTTGACACCTAATCTCTAGCTTTCAATGTTTCGGGGGAACTGTACTCTCGATGAGCGTCAAGGAGATATATTCGGCATAATAGTCATTAATATTTTGCAATTATGACTGTTGTTTTGGGTTTTTAGAATGCAGTGGCTCATTAATAGTCCTGTCTTAGTCACTCACGTCTCCATAAATGAGATGTCAAGTCTTCTTAAATGTTGGCGTCAGTCTGTGTATTCAGCTCCTCCGAGCCATTTCGAGCCATTATTCCTCAGCACCACTTCTCAACCCTTTTTGAGTTTTGTAACAACTACGTCATTGCACGTGTCAATTTGAGGGTCGCTGAGCCGTTTAAAGTCTCATCAGTTGTATTAAAACTACATCATTAGATCCCCAAATAAAGCCTTTGTAGCATTATTCAATATCGAAATGCAACAGAGATACATGTCATCACTAATGACATGATATCACTAACCAATAATAAAATTCTAAATGGAAAAGGTAAATCCCACTTGAGTTACATGGCAAATGGGGTGGAATAGTAGTATTGATTTTTTTGGGGTCAATTTACTTATTTGTTTTAGTATTATTAGTTGGTAATAACACATTACTTTGTCATGTGGTATCACCGTTGTAATGAATATTTTCTCCAATTTCACATAAATCTCTACCGTTAATGTTTATTAATATATCCGTTAGTAAACTACATCTAGACTCCTAAAATTTAAAGTGTGTGCGTTCTTAGAAATAAAATACTCAAAGGTATATTTGTTTGAAGTATTTTATAAGCCTGGTATAGGAAATGTATTCCTTACATTTGTAATACCAATGGATATTAGTACTGGTAATAAAAAGTATTTCAATATCATCTCATGTTTGTTTATTCAATAGGTACTATGATGAATCTCACAAACAATCATTTATTCTATCATATCTTATATAACAAATATATTATTTTACTCTTAATATCATCTATTCCATTTAAAATAATTTTAAAAAAAATTAAAAAATATCGGTGACACTGTACGCTTAAACATAATACAAGAAAAAAAATTCAAAATAATTTTTAAAAAAAAAAAATTTTAAAAATCAGTAACACGGTACGCTTAAACATAATAAAAGAAAATAATTTAAAAAAAAACTGAAAAAAAATCGTTAACACCGTACGCTTAAACATAATATAATACAAGAAAAAAATTTAAAATAATTTTTTTAAAAAAAATTAAAAAAATAATTAATACCGTACGCTTAAACATAATACAAGTAAAAATTCAAAATAATTTTTAAAAAAAATCAGTAACATCGTAAGTTTAAACATAATATAAGGAAAAATTTTAAAATAAATATTTTATATGTGAACTCTTCACATAGGAGGGCATTTGTGTCATTTTATTCTTTTATACCGTCTTTTCATTTGTATCAATAAAATAATATCACCTAGTAGGTGGCATTCATTAATACCATATAGAACGCATTTAAGTCGCTATTCATACTGGGTTGATATTATGATCCTAAAAATAGTACTGATGGTAGAATGCCAAACAAATAAAGTATAAGATGGGTCATACGTACTATTTATCTAATCTCAACTCCTTGTACCACCCTTATTCTCCAACCAAACATGCCTCAATTATATATAGAATGTCAAATATTTTAATTTTTACTATCAAAATGCATGTTCTATCATTATATGAAATAAAATAAAAAATATGATTTTTTCTTTAAAAAATTATAATTAATATTGTTGATGTCAAAATTTAAGACGACCTCACGTTAGTTCAAAAAGGATTTACGGTTCTTAAGTTAATAAGTGATTCAAAAGTATAAACTACCTTTAAAACGTAAAAATGACCTGAAACAGCAATGTAGCTTTATTTATAAGAATTTCAACTGTTTGAATTGTATAGGGATAAATAGTTGAAGATCTAGTCAATCATAGAAAGATGAGGATTAAGTTTTTATCTTTATACACTGATTTGATGTTATTTGTGCAGTTAAAATTAGCTTATCAATGATATGTAAAATCCTATCCTTAGCTTATCAATGATATGTAAAATCCTATCCTGATTAGAAATCTTAATAGAATGGGCTGAATTTTGACTAGATGAAATTTTCATCTTGGGTCAAATTTTCTATTATTAATTACGAACATATGAAATAAGTCTAATCAACACATTTGCATGTTATATTATATCATCTATTGACATAAAAATTAAATAAAATCACAATTTTTTGAAAAAAAATAGTAATCAGTATAAATATATAAAAAAATTCAATTCAATACTCATTTGTATACAATTATATTATTTATTGGAATAAAACAAAAAAACTAAACATGGTGTTAAAATGTAATAGATATGATATCTTCTATTTTTAATTAGAATGATTTAGTCATTTAATAGATTTTATTAGTTTCATAACTAATAAAGAGTTTAAGTGTTACACGCTTGTAGATCAAGGAGTTTGAGTATAATTTATTAATGAATATACTAATCGATATTAAGATAGAAGTTTAAGTTTTACGCGCGTATAAACTTCAAGAGTTTGTGTGTAATATTTCAAATATCAAGAAATTTAAGTGATCAAATGACAAATTTCAAGGAATTTAAGAGTAATTTTCCCAAAAGATTATAAAAGAATTTGGAACATAAAAACTTATTAGAAGAGGGAAATAAAAGTCGTGGAATTTATGTATGATAAAGAAGAATTTTTGGATCACAAAATATTGGAAAAATAAACAACAAACATCCACTCACACTGTCCAGATTTTTTTTTTTTTCGCTAAATTTTTGTGTCCACCTACACCTTATCATTTTCGTATAGATCCATATCTAATGATCATGAATATGTGACAAACACTATGAAGTAAATATCATTTTGATAACTATAAGCTATTATATCCATGATTTTTTCATTGTTTTTTGTTTGTTTTCTTGATTTAATAGTATTTTATTGATAATATGGATGTAATTATTTGTAGCTAAATTTTTAGTGTTTGCCATAATATTATAATTTTGTTGATTAATTTTGATTTGCATATATTATAATATTTGTGATTAATATTGATTTGCATATTTATAATTTTAGCCACTTCGTATTCTAAATTTATGCATCAGATTACCTAGAATTGATTACTATTGATTTTTGCTTTTTTATGATTTGCCTCTACATAAATAAATATAAAATGAATTATTATATTTTTATTAATCAAAATTTATTCTTAAAATGTCCTGCCATCACCATGCCTAAGCATGTGCCAAAACAATACACCGAGTGCAACTTCTTCATTCTTTCTCAACTAATACACAATTATGATAATAAAAAAAACTAATACACAATTAAGGAGGAAGAGTCTTTATTATAGTGAAATACTCTAACTCTTCAATTAGGTGAACCATTTAATTCTTGAGTTTTTTTGTGAGTCAATACTTAATTTACTACTTAATTGTGAAAAAATATGTAGTATAAAATATTTTGCATATAGGTATCTTTTTTTATAATAAAAATGTCCACAACGTAAAAATTACCTAGCGTAAAGAGTGAATAAAGAAATTACTATAAATCATGCAACAATCTCATTAAATTTAGCAAATGTTATATTCTTCAAAATATGAGTTTTCAAATTTTTTTAAAAAAATCTGCTATAAAATTCTTTAATTTTTAAACAAAACACACACACACACACACAGAGAAATGTTGAAACACCACTAAAGATCGATTTTTCTTCTGTTCCGTAATTGCCAATAATGTGACATTAGAATTATGCATGACAGTGTAACACTTTAATTACTAAAAAAAAATTACATTCACCGATTTATACACAATCTAAATAGCATGCATCACATGATGTGACATTCATTTATATTACTTGTAATGAATGAAAGTATTACATCACAATGTAACATTGAAAATGACACTGTTGTTTGTTAGATTTGAAAACAACAAAAGTCTTTTAACATTAAAAAATAATATAACAAAATAAATTTAAAAATATGGGTCAAGCCATTAAGGTATATTCCATGTGGTATAATTTTGAATTTTAAATATGTTCAATCCCTTAAAATATGAAAGT